CCCCCCTTTTTGTATCCTCTCTGGGGATTAAAGCCTGCAGCTATTTTCCTTTTTGTTTGTGACACTTGGCACACTGGCTGACCTGCCTTACCTATTATGTTTGTTCCTCTCTTCACCCTTGCAGACATCCAGCGGTGTATCATTGGGTGGTTGCATAAGAATAGTATTTAACACTCAAGCAAAAAATTCCAACAAAAAACAAAAACCTATATCAAAGTTCAGCAAGTGCTCAAGCAAGTTTTGTTCAAGTTTATGGGAAAATATGGGCAGCCCCTGGAAAGGCTTTGTTGAGTTTACCTTGCCTGCGTCGCCACCCACCGCGTTTGTTAGCGCTGACCTGAGCAGCACCTCCCCTGTCGGACTCAGCCTGTCGCCATATGGCCGATCCGTAAGTTTCACCTTCCCACCTTTCTACGTGCCCCACCCCATCGAGCACCCATCCACCCACCTTGCCCCGCATCTTTGCTGTGAATGGCATAACTTCTTTCATCTTTTCAGGCTCCCAAGACTAGCCTCTACTCAGTTATTTTCTTGCAGGGTGAGGGGTGTTCTGCCAACTAGACAACCGAAATTTGATGTAAACGAGCACTTTTAATTTTCATTTTAAATTGTTTTTATTATTTTTATTTTATTTTTTTACATTGTACCCTCCCCGATTAATATTCAGACTGGTAAAAGGGAGGGCAGTGACTCAAGATGGACAATATTAACACTTCAACGTAACTACACACAAAATCCAGGACCACAGATGCATATGAAAGGTGGATACTTGTTGGTTCTCAGGAAAACTGAAAATTGATCTTAAGTCGATGGTATTTACAGTACTCATCCATCAGCACTGGACCAAAGCCCTTAATTCTCTTTGGGGATTCATGTACGTTTGCGTTGTGTCATAAGGAGTCGTGATAGTTGCAGGACAGGGGCTAGCAAGAGGCTGCTCTGGGATCCCCTCCCTCTTCCCCCATTACTCATAATCCATCACCAACTTCCTGTCCACTGTAGATGCACCGCTCTTTGACCTGTCATTTGCATTTTCTGATTCTCCATCTTTATTTTTTTTTTTTTAATTGCAGCACTGTATTTAAATCATTCCCATGATCGTCTGTGCCAATAATGTATTTTAGATATCTTTTTAGTGTTGCTTCCTCTGTAGATCCGTTCCTGTTTGAGTGCGCTCTAGTACTACCAGGGACTTGGTAGCGCTCCAAATATCGCTCCCTTCAACATGAAATTTTCAGGGTTGAGTGATTTGATGGTTTTACTGCCTGCTATTGTTCCTGGTTTAAGTATTGGTGGTGGTTGTGATGACTATCTAGTCCATTGCTTTTTGTAGAACACGTCAGCATGTGGTGGGCCTAAAGGACTCTATAATACCGCAAAAGTTGAGTTATAAGTTCAGCAGGTTTTGTCTGAGATGATGGGAAACTGTAGGCAGAGTAAAAGCCAAACGTTCCATTTCTCTGCAGCATATCCCAGTCCTGTCCCCAGTGTCAGAAATGGAAAGAGGCTCCTCTGAACCTCCAGTGGCTCGCAACACTGGCTCTACCCCATCTGCTTCTACTGGTCCCGTACCTATCCCCCGTTCCTCCTCCGTCTCTTGCCATCCCCACCCAGGCAGTAAAAAACACAAGCGGACACCTTTGTATCAGAGATCAGTAAGGAGGCATATCTGATGGTGCCCACACTGACCTAACCACTCAAAGCTGCTGGTGTGTTGTGACTTTTGCTAACAGCATGGATGAAAACAAATGCCCCAAAGATTAACTAGGGTGCTGTGAAAGAGTTTTGACAAGTTTCTGGTGATATTGCCATGTAATCAGTAGTTGGTTAATGGATGGAAACACATTGAATGATTCTCTAACCAGAACTGTGTGAAATTCTGCCACACTGCTGTAAATGGAGTGAGTCAAGTTCAGCTTCAGGTGCATGAGTGAAAAGGAAACCCTACTGTGTTATGTTTGTGGTCTAAGTTTGAAATCAGTGCGTCTTAGCCCCCAAAGATTCTCGTGTGGCTTTACTTGCTCACCCTGCCCCCTCCACACTTTCCCTGAAAGTGCTATACTTGCATGTTTGATTTTTCATTTTCTTTTGTATTTATTTCGTTTTAGGTTGGCATCCAACACAACTGCTGCATCCTAATTGTTAAACTACATGTTTATGTACTGCTGGTAGCTTTCTTTTTAATACTTGCTTCTCTTCTTCTCTAGATGAGTTTTGACCCAGGCATGCTCCACAACAATGGGCACACCGCATATGCCAATGGCTCAGGGCCTGGCATTAGAGAGACTGGTGTGGTGGAGAAGCTCTTGACTTCCTATGGGTTTATCCAGTGCTCTGAACGTCAGGCTCGTCTCTTCTTCCACTGCTCCCAGTACAATGGCAACCTGCAGGAGCTTAAAATAGGAGGTGAGGGCGACTTACTGAAAAGAAACTTACTTGATTTCCTGCTGACTTTATTGAAACTTAGGTTGTATTGGTCATTTGAAGTTTGCTCATTTTCTTTTCTATTTGTTGTCCCTTTCTCTGTAGATGATGTAGAGTTTGAAGTTTCCTCTGACAGGCGCACTGGCAAGCCCATAGCAGTGAAGCTGCTTAAGATAAAGCCAGAAGTGCTGCCAGAGGAGCGCATTTCGGGCCAGGTGGGGCCAGACCTGCACGCCTATCCCTTTACTGTGCTGCATGGTTATATTCATCCAGTTAAGGAATACCATTTTATTTTTGGTTATGTCCTTGTCTGTCAGCTTAGCTTTTTTATTTTATTTTTTGGGGCAAGCAGTGTCATTCTTATAATTGTCAAGCTTGTCTCTCATCCTGATTTACAGTTTAAATGTAAACTAAAAACTGGCATGAGTGTCTGCTTGAGATGATGAATGTCTGAACAAATGTGTACGAATGAGATAATTTCTCACTTGACAACTCAGTTCTGTATTTTATACAACAGCCAGTTTCCCAAACACTTGGTATCATTGGTGATAAACATAACTACATGATGCCACTAACCTTGTTATTTGATATAAACAAATTACTCAAATCTTCATTTAGAGCATTCATGCACCTGCATTTGTACAATTTGAGTTTCAGGCATTTTATTCATCTCATTTCCATACTTTTTTTTTATTTGGCTTTGTAGCTGTCTATTCAGCCCAATGAAACAGTGGTTTAATGGCTTCTACCTGTAATTTCCCCCCCTTACTGCAGGTTGTGTCATCAATCCCGTTGCATTTGGATGGAAAGTCTGCTCATGGACAGGTGCCCACTGGCAGTGTCTGCTATGAAAGAAATGGGGTAAGATGGGTGGCATGGATTACACTTTGAGTCAGCAAGCTGCAGCATGTTAATGTAATTGAGTGGGTTTCTTCTTTAAATTCATCTCCTGTCCTCTGTAGTAGACTTTGTACAGAGGCAATTGGTTAACTTCTTGCATCTTTTGTTTGAGTTTGCTAAATGCTTATTTGATCAATCTAACATGATTACTAATGAAAAAGGGCAGAAGCCAGTGTTTGTAGGTGTTGCTTTTAGTCAAATTAGGTGGCACTGAGTCAATGTAAAGCCTTCAGCCTCCACAGCACATGGCAGTCTTTTCTTCACTCAGTTTCATTGTTGGTAGTTTTGAATATTACATAGTTTGAGTTATTAAGTGTTTTTTAAATCAGTGGTGTCTTTTCACAGGAAGTATTTTACCTTACATATACTCCTGATGACGTGGAGGGAAATATCCATTTGGACACGGGGGACAAAGTCAGCTTCTATATGGAGACCAATAAGCAGTAAGTGTGCAGCACTTGTAGCATAAATGCCATAAGCAGCTGTCACTGGGTGTTTAATGTTCATTCCTTTGTGGTTTTTCAGTACTGGTGCAGTCAGCGCTCGTAATATTCAGCTTGTGAAGAAAAAACAGATGAGGTGCCAGGGTGTAGTGTGTGCTACAAAGGTAAGATCCAATCAAAACAACTTTTTTTTTTTTTTTCCCTCTTTTTCTCTCTCTAGTGGAATATCTTTGAAATTTGACAAAACAAAACAAATTGCCTAGAATAGTTGAGTATTGGGTGAACTTTACGGTTTGTAAAGTTTGCTTGGATATCTAAAGCGTGTGTGTGGGGCTGTGCGATATGACCAAAATCTCATATCCCAATAAATCTCGGGCAGCGCAACTTGCAGGAAGTGTTTCCAGCTGCGTGTCATGTAGCTGGAGTCAAGTGTTTTAACCGATGCATGAAACTATACATTTTTAGACA